TAATCAACGTTTTCAAATATATTATTACAAATACTGTAACTTTCATTATTTTTGATATCTTGTTGCAAATTTATCTCCGGAACATTAACAATCGTCATTTTATTTCATTTCGAATTCAATTTCAAAAAAATAGTTTAGTTGCCTAATTTGCACAAAATTGAAAAAGTGTAGTCACCCCCGTATAGTCACAGGCTAATCACATTAAAATTGATTTAAATTTATGAATTTAAAGAATAACTATAAAAATTTTCATGATGTGATTATAAAATCAAAAAATTATTTCCTTATACATAAAAATAATTTAAAAAAAATTAACAAAATCAAGATGTTTCTGAGGGCAATTCTTTATTGACTCAGCTATTATATAATACTCAGTATTAATATATAATACTTATATATAATTAGTATAATATATTATTTATTAATCAATATTATTAATATTTATTGGATCTGACATATTCAGGTATCCTTATGGCACTTGTGTAAAGTCTCGACTATCCATTATCATTTGCCTTTAAAACGATCAGATATATTTATCATAGGCATCTTCACATCATATTTTTTTACCAAAGCTCTCCAATGCAACATGTCGATGCTCATAATGACTTGCTGTTCATCACCCGAGTGCTGTTCATCATTCGAGTGCTGTTCATCAGTCCGAGACTTTTTCAAAGGCCTTAACCACAAATCTTCATTTTCTTCAAAGAGCTCCACATCTCTATCTCGAACTAGAAATGACACTTGGAAAATATTGTCAACGGGTTTTCCAAAGTCTTCAGGATCTAGAACGATTTGGAAGTATTTTATAGGTTTCATGTTATTGTGTTTAAAGTGTCTCATGATTTGGCTCTTGACTTTTTCCAGAATTGCTGAGGTTTCTTCGGTTTGTTCAGCCTTATCGATGCTATCAGGGCAAGTAGATTCAATTTCAATGGGTTCCCTTTGGGTCCTCTGCCGTTTCTGCCTTACTTTTATTACTGGTGTTTCAAGATTGAAAGTGCTGAACATACTGTGCGAGACAATAAATTAAAAAAAATGTATGGACAGGGGTTGGCAACCTAAAATAACTACTTGAAAGTGGCAATTTGCCTTCAAACAAGATTTTGCACCATTTTAATAAAACAAGATTTTGCACAATTTCAATAAGACTCAATTTTAAAATTCCTTAAAGAAACTTCAATTTCCAAAACTATAAAGAAGAAAACAGAAGAAAAACAAATTGCTGCTACTTTCTATACTGTAATATAAAATTTTCAAATGCTTAGAAATCACAAATTCGATTTTTTGTGAATTTTTAATTATTTTTTTTTTAAACATTTTTGAAAATTTGTAAACATTTGAAAAATTTGAGTAATGAAAAAGTAGAAAAAATGTCTTTTTTACAAATACCCATAATTTTTTAAAACTTAAGTTTTTATGAAGTGGATAACAATAACTTACTCTACGGAAAATTTTGGAAAAAAATATTTTGGAGCCTTATAACATATTGCTGTCACGGCAACATTATCTTATGCTTGTTTCTTGTTAATGAAATTGTCAAAATGCTTATCTGGGACTCTACTGACGAGCAAATTAAACGAGGATAATAAAAGAAAACGACTCCACTGAGCAAACATTAAGCAAGTCAAAAATATTAGTCACACAGTTTTGAGACAAACAAAACTCTACTGACGAACAAATTAAACTTAAAAATGTTTCGGATTTTAATTTTAATTCTAGCTCATATGAGATAAGGTTCTCTAATATGAGATAAGGTTGCTCATCAGTAGAGCCCATTTTTCAATTCTAAATTAAGTCTGCTGGTCAGTAGAGTCCTTTTTTTATCTTCTAGATTTATAATTTATTTGCTCGTCAGTAGAGTCCTTTTTTATCTTCTAGATTTATAATTTATTTGTTCGTCAGTAGAGTCCTTATTTTGTCTTCTAGATTTTATAATTTATTCGCTCGTCAATAGAGTCCTTTTTTATCTTACGATTTATAATTTATTTGCTCGTTAGTAGAGTCCTTTTTGTTATTGTTTATATTATTAACTGTTTGAAAGAGAAGTTTGAGATATTCACGATGTTTCAAGTCATTTTGAATCGAATTCATGAACAACAATTTTGAATATCTGGCTAAAATATTTTTGAAGTAAAACTTCTTTAGGCGCGACTGGGGAGTAAATCTGTGAAAATGCAACGGAAGAGCGTTACGGCAAAGTCGAGTGCCAATGATTCGTCATTCGTTCTCGATTTCTATACGGGTCGATTGTGATTGGTCGTCGTGTCGCGTGAGAGGGTTCTTTGATTGTATTGCACTCTTTTTTTATTCTAGCCGACGTTGTCAACCCCTGTCGACGTCTTCTAATCCATATGTAGATTAGCATGTGTCACTTTTTTTTGTTCTACAAGAGCAATACTATAGTCATATAATAACTATGATAATCACAAAAATCACGTTCACCGGTGCCATGAATTTTATTCGATCCGATCCGACGACTAATTCGCTTTTAATTGCTCCGAATGCTAATTTTTTGGTAGAGGCCGACGACGGAGGAAAAAAACATTACGATATTTTGGTGAGATTGTTCTTGGAGTAATAATAAATTTAGAAGAAAGAACTCTACTGACGAGCAAAGTGAAAAAGAACTTAGAAGAAGAAAAACATGCTAGTGGCGAGCAAATTGGAATAGGACATTTAGAATACTAAAAAGGGCTCTACTGACGAGCATAAAGGAGCATGGCATATAAGATACATGAAAAGAATCTACTGACGAGTAAACTGAAAAAGGACATAGGAGATAAAAAGGACTCTACTGACGAGCAAACTGGAACAGGAGATAGGAGATAAAAAGAACTCTACTGACGAGCAAATTGAAAAAGGAGATGGAAGATAAAAAAAAAATGCTAGTGACTAGCAAATTGGAATAGGATATAGGAGATGCAAAAAAGGACTCTACTGACGAGCAAACTGAAAAGGGGCATTTAAAATACCAAAAAGTACTCTACTGATAAAGGAGGATTCTACGGTTTTTAAGAGAACGGAGCGTCCGATTTTAATAATTCAAAAAACATTTTACTTGTATTGACAAGGTAAAGAACCGATCACATTTTCATAAAGGCAGGTGTAGCGGTTTTGGAGATCTAATGAAAAAAGTAAAAAAAATGCCATTTGGCGGTCAAAAATGATCATTAGACATATGCACATCAAATTATCAGATATTTTATAGAGATTTTAACAATAAGTATAAATTTTGTTTACATTCCTATGGGTTCCGTACCAATGTTTATCTGTTAGACTGCGTCGCGGCGCTTACGCGCTTCGATATTTCGACTCTATGCAGTTAAAGCAGTACGATTGCTTTGAAAAAAAGTTCAAATAAGATTTTTTTTTTTAATTTTTTTTTCCAAAAAAGTACTTTTTTGTCTAATTTATAGTTTCTCAAAAATCTTATTTTTTTGAAGTAAATTTTTTTCAAAAATGTTAATTGTTTTAAAAAAAATAATAATTTTTGGTACGGAAAGTTCCAGCAATTTGCCTTAAGGCACGATGCCTTAATTGCTTTAAGACAGAATTCCACTTACAGCTAGTTTAGCTTCTAGATTTGTAATGAATTTTCTTGTCAGTAGAGTCCCTTTTACCAGTATCACCTTTTTGCCTTGTTTGTTAGTAATTTTTGTATTTCTCCTTAATTTTGATTGCTCGTCAGTAGAGTCCCTTTTTTCCCTTAACTTCTATTGCTTGTCAGTAGAGTTCAGTTCAGTTTTTCGTTTGTGCTTGTTTCTTAGTAGAATCCTTTTTTTATCTTCTAGATTTATAAATTATTTGTTCGTCAGTAAAGTCCTTATTTTGTCTTGTAGATTTATGATTTATTTGCCCGTCAGTACAGTCCTTTTTATCTTTGATTTATAATTTGTTGTGACAGTAAGAAGAAACGATTAGTTTTTCGAAAAAGCAATTTTTTTATTTCAAAATTTCAATTTTTACGTGATATCCAAAAAAAATATTTTTCTTTGAACATCTAAATTTGGATATTAATTTCAATTCTAAGGAAATGAATTATAAAAATGTAATTTGGGCTAGACTATTGAAAAATATGAAAATACCGCAAAGCTACAGTATAAGTGAAAATGTCGCACAGAATTATTTGCAAATGCGTTTAGACTGTGATTATACGAGAGCACTTTTTAAATTTGTGTAAATTAGGCAACTATTTTTTTTTAAATTGAATTCGAAATGAGATGACGATTGTTAATGTTCTGGAGATAAATCAATTTATTTATGATTTACATTTGATTTGCTCAGATATAACAAACAAGATAGCAAGATAAATAATGAAAGTTACAGCATTTGTAATACCACGTTTAAATTTTCTCAAATATTTCATTACGATACAGAAAGTACCAGCAATTTGCCTTAAGGCACGATGCCATACACCACTAGTTTCATTATCTTTTCCAGGGAGCACCATGGTCCTTCCTACACAACAGGCAGTTCCTCGGCAGTGCTTTATCCTGCTGCCGGAGGCAGTGATGACTATGCGTATGGAGCAGCAGGTGTGAGGTTTGCTTTTACAATCGAGTTACCAAAAGGCAGTGATACTGGTTTTGATCCTGAACCCGAGGATATGATGAAGATCTTCGAGGAAACCATGTTCGGGTTCAGAGTTATTGTACGGATGGCCGGTGAACACTTTTGAAAGTAATAAAGATGTTTTGTTAAGCATGTTTTTTTGTTTTAATGTGAATTGTAGATTTGATGCGTGATGTAAAACTTTTTAGGGTAGGATAGGATAATGAAGTTTTTGGTTGCAAATAAAGATTGCATTAGTAAGAGATAGAAATAGTGAAAATCAGAATGAGATTTAGAGAGAGATATAGAAAATAAATGCATAATGTGCATGAGAGACTTTGAGATTTTATAGTGATGAAAAGAGAAACAAGATATAGGTACAGTTAGAGATAGAAACAAGGTAGGAGATAGAGTCTCTATCTTGTTTCTATCTCTAACTGTACCTATATTTTGTTTCTCTTTTCATCACTATAAAATCTCAATCACTCTATCATAGAGTATATATCACTCTATCATAGAGTGATATAATGAGAGCTTGACAGAATGCAAAATAAAGAAGTACATTTACAGACAGAATGAGGTATGCTATAATATAATGTGAGACTTTGTGGTGGGAAGAGGGTAATTTTATTTTGAATATCACCAAGGGAGAGAAAGGGTCCAAAAATCCTTAAAAAGTCGATCACGTGATTAATAGATGCCCTCTTAGATATTTCAGAAATAAATAATTTTAACTTTGCAATTCAGTTTATATATTTTTTATAAATATGAATAAGGTCCTTCATTCTAACATTATTTAATTAATTTACTTAATATTTGTTTATTTAATCTTCGATTAAATAAAGCGTCGTGGCGAAGATCGTTATCGCGTTGACTTTGTATGATGTATACTTCAGAGATAAATAATCTTAACTTTGCAATTCAGTTTATATATTTTTTATGAATATGAGATAAAATCCTTCATTCTTACTTTGCTTGATTAAATTTGCTTATTTACTCTTCAACAATCCGTCGTGGCGAAAATCGTTAACGCGTTGACTTTGTGTGGATAAGGTCGCGCGATCGAATCCCCGCTCTGAAAATCTGAAATCGGGTATTTTCAATTGTAACTATAGATAAAAAATGTTTTAAATTGAAAATAAACCCATCCCGGGGAGGTTCCACTGCGCTGTGAGTTGGAAATGGAAAAAGCTCTTTGTCAGCCAATTTGTAAGCTCTTATATTTTATCTATAAAATACGAATAACTAAAGTTACTGTATTTATAATAATATATTTGAAAACATTTAAAATTCCTCGAATATTTGATTACGTATGGGAAGTTCCAGCAATTCCTTTATCCTGAAATTTATTTTTTAGTCTATGATTTTTATGTCTTATATATGTTTTATAGCTTTATTTTTATGCAATAGGAAATGAAAGCAACCAAGAGCATGCTCTTGCAGAAGATTTAATAAAACCAGAAGTGTTGGTGATACATTTTGCACATTTTAATAAACAGTGAAAAAAACTAAAAAATTTGCTGCCTTGGACACAGAGTTAAAGGTGAGTAACAATTTAGTATTTTTTATATAATATGTATGACTATGTATGATTGTTGTGGCGAAGGTCGTTAACGCGTTGCCTTCGTGTGGATGGGGTCGCGCGTTCGATTCCCCGCTCTGACAATCGGAAAGCGCGATGTGTATTTTTAATTGAAAATATAGATCAAAGTATGTTTCCAATTGAAAATAAGCCCATCTCGGGAACTGCGGTGTAAAATGGAAATGGGAACAGCTCTTTGCCAGCCAATTTGTGAGCTCTTATATCTATAAAATATGAATAACTAAAGTTACTGTATTTATAGTAATATCTATGTATTTAATAATAATTCAATATATATAATAATATCTATGGATTTAATAATTTAAAATTTGTTGGAATATTTGATTACGGTACGAGAAGTTCCAGCAATTTCTGTTACACAATGTTGAAAATTCCTTTATCCTGAAATTTATTTTTTAGTCTATGATTCCTATGTTTTACATTTTTTATAGCTGTATTTTTATGTAACAGAGAATGAAAGCAGTATTGAATACTGCTCCTGAGTGGAGGTTTCTGCAGCAGATTTAATAAAACCAGAAGTATTGCTGAAACAGTTTGCACATTTCGATGACGAGTAAAAAAACTGAAAAATTTACTGTCTGGACACAGAGTTGAAGGCATCTTTACAAGTGAGTATTTTTTATATATATATATATATATATATATATATATATATATATATATATATCGAATTTCGATAAATAATGACACCAATTCACTTTGAATTCATTTGTCGCTAAATCATATCTAAAAAAATTTTTTTAGATATGACTTAGCGACAAATGTTTGTATGTATGTATGTATATATGTATGTATATATGTATGTATGTATGTTTATATATATGATTGTAGTGGCGAAGGTCGTTAACGCGTTGAATTCGTATGTATGGGGTCGCGCGTTCGAATCTCCCGCTCTGACAATCTGGCATCGGGCAGCGTCATGTCCATTTTTAATTGAATATATAGATAGATCAAAATATGTTTCCAATTGAAAATAAAATTAAAATAAAAATAAATTATTTAGTTATTCGTCGTTTATTTTGGTATTTTAGTATTTTGATGATTAGCAATATGTGAATTTAGGTCATTTTTTTACTTTTTTTCAAATAGACTCATTGATGTCCAACATATTATTAAATTAATATTTCAATGAAATAGTTGTTTTTATTAAAGTGATAAATGTGATCATCACATTAGATAAAGTTTGTTTAAAATAAATTATATTTTCAAGTACAAAAGGTATATAATTTATTTTACAAACTATATTTATTGGATGCAATTTTTTGGTTTTGAAGCGATATTTCATATAAGCAATGAAAATAGACTTGTTTAATACTGTTATATTTTTTAAAATACAGATATTTCATTTTATTCATATAGGGGCGTCCATTAATCACGTGATCGATTTTTTAAGGATTTTTGGACCCCAAAATTATTTCCCTCTCCCCCACCAAACATCAGGTGTATTTTTAGTTACGAAAAAAATTGTAAAATATTGAATTTTTTTTTAAAATACAAGTAAAAAATAAATACATGTAATATCTTACTGTACACCTCCCTTGCTCATAATATTTCGTGATTTTTTGTCAAAACAAACCCCTCCCACCGCCTAAAAACCTCACGTGATTAATGAGCAACCCTAATGAATTTTCAACCTAATTTGTGTGTTTCTTTTACTGAAAATTATTCAATTAGTTTAACACTCGAGTATAATTACCTCTTAAGATATTTAGTAAATTATTCCTAAATGTTAGAATATATTGTGTGCAATGTGGGCTCTTCGACATCTTCGTAACAAAATATATATTGTCCTGAGTTAAGACTTGTGTAATTCAAATATCTTCACAAATTCTTAATCAGCACCTAAATAATCATAATTTAATTATAAAAAACCTATTGTTGTATTATAGATAAGAGTATTGTAAACAATTACTAATCCGTTTTTGTGTTATAGACATATTCATCGATATTTTTGCTTTTTTGAAACAGAGGATTCCAATCGACAAGAGTTTGTAGAGTTTCTATATCTGCAAGAATTTTTTATTCTATTATTTTTTTGTTATTTATTATAGCAATATATAAAATATATAAAATATAAAATATAATAAAATATATAAAATATAATAAGCTTATATTATCTATCTATATAAAATATAATAAGCAAATATTGGAAAAAATAATGGTGCGGCCTAAACAGATCATTTACCTTGTACAGAATAAACTGATCTCCTGATCCATTGTGAGACTACACAAAATATTTATTAATTTATTTTTATATAATAAAATTTTATTTATTAAGGTGTTGATTGAGAATTTGTGAAAATATTTAAATTACTCAAGTCTCGAATAGATCTAAACTTGTTACAAAGATGACGAAGAGCTCTCATTGCACACATTAAATTCTAACCTTCAAAAATAATTTACACAAAATAAGAGAAATATTATAAAATGAAGGAAAATATTACAAGAATAATGTTGAAGTAATTTTCAATTATAGAGAAAACACAAAATAGGTTGAAGATTCATTATCTATATCTATTTCTATTTCTGAAGTTGAAGTTTTATGCAGATCTTGGTGTAACAGCTAATTTGGTTCGGTCACTTGTTTTAAAATAAACCTTTGTACTATCGCTACATTTGGCACATAATTGTACATTGCAGATCCAGATTATAGTTTTATAAATTAAAAACTAAATCATCACTTGTAGAGATCTGTGAAAACTGAAAAAATAACAAAGATTTTGTGTATACTCATCGCAGTCATAATTATACTTGCAACAAACAAACTATAGTTATGTATAAAAATAATTAAAATTAACTTGTAAATTAAAATGTAAATAAGTTCACAGTAAATAAATTAAATAATAAATAAATAATTAATAAAATTGCTAATAGTTAATTAAATTATATTAAATCGTAAAATATTGACTTGGGCCTTATTATAATATTATTATACTGATGGCTTGTAAAATAAATAAATAAATAAATAAATTTATAATAGTTATATGCTCACAACACAATAACCTGACAATATAATTCATATTTTGCATAAGAATGTATTTGTATATTAACAAATAACCTCACAAATAGATGTTCATGTTTGTAAAGAATAAACTGATCTCTCGTTCAATTATAATCAGTGTAGCAGCTAATTTAGTTGCTCTTTCAATTATATTAAAGTGAATCTTTGCATTATTTCTATGTTCGACTCAGATGCTGTAGGTCCAGATATACTTGATTGTAGTTTTATAAATTGGAATTTCATTAGCTGTAAAAAACTAGAAAATTTGCAGAGTTAAAGGCACTTTTACGAGTGAGTATTTTTTATATATTCAAATTGTCCTTAGTATGGATGTTTTCGAATTTCCTTGCTCCCGGGGGCTCAAATAAAAATAATAAACAATTTGTGTTTACATATTCATCGCAGTAATAATAATTATATTTACAAGACAATAAGCTGACGATTTATTTTGTATTTAATGAATATATATAAACAAACAATCAGATAACCTTAGAAATATCAGATAACCTTTTATTCAATTGGGGGGACTTGCAGTCCCAACACGTGTAACAGCTAATTCGGTTTTGGTCACTTGTTTTAGAATGAACTTTTGCAGAATTATTATATCTGTAGGACCTGAATTCTACGATATCCGAATAACCTCACAAATAGATGTCCATGTCCCTACAGAATAAACTGATCTTTTGTTGAAATATAGGTACTTGCAGATCTTGGTGTAACAACTAATTCAGTTTGGACACTTATTTTACAATGAAGTCTTTGCTGTATTGCTATATGTGACTCTTAATTGGATACCGTAGGACCAGAGGTCTTTGGTAAGTTCAATAGCTGTAAAGAATTTGTGTGTATATACTTATCCATATGATAATTTATATAACTATATGTCCACAACACAATAAGCTTACGATTTAATGCCAGTTTTGCATAAGAATGTGTATATATATATAAACAAACAATCACTCATAACCTCACAAATAGATGTCCATGTCCCTACAGATCTCTCGATGAATTGTGGGGACTTGCAGATCTTCTTGTAACAGCTAATTGGGTTTGGACACTTGTTTTACAATGAAGCCTTTGCGGTTTTACTATATGTGACTCCTAATTGGATACCGTAGGACCAGAGGTCTTCGGTAAGTTCAATATCTGTAAAGAATTTGTGTGTATATATTCATCTAGGTGATAATTTATCATAATAATATGTGCACAACACAATAAGCTAAGGATTTGATACACATTTTGCTTAAGAATGTATTTATATATAGAAAAAGAATCAGATATAACCTCACTAATAGTTGTCCATGTCCCTACAGATCTCTCGTTGAATTGTAGGGACTTGCAGATCTTGTTGTAACAGCTAATTGGATTTGGACATTTGTTTTACAATGAAGCCTTTGCTGTATTGCTATATTTGACTCGTAATTAGATACCGTAGGACCAGAATTCTACGGTAAGTTCTATAGTGTTTTCTAGCCACAACGTATTTGTGTGTATATATTCATCCATATGATAATTTATATTAATTATACATTCACAACACAATAAGCTTACGATTTAATGTAAGTTTTGCATAAGAATGCGTGTATATAAACAAACCACATAACCCCACAACTAAATGTCAATATGCAAACTTTGCAACAAATTGGTATTTTTCACATAAATTATCATGTGAGATTATTAATTTTATTTATTTACAGACTTTATGTACGTGTGTGTACAAAAATTTGAGTTCATCATAATTGTTGTTTTGACATTTGTGCTGCTTTGAGGTTAGAAGTGGATTTTGAGTAAAACCAAGCAAAAACATATATTTTTGGATAGTTTATTATTAAAATATGACTACTAAATCATGCAATAATAGTTTATTAACATAATATTTCTATTTTATCCCCTATTATATCCTTTATTACTGGTTGTTGTAATTTTCAACTACAGAACAAATAGTGCTCACCCAATTATGTTTTTACTTGTTTTAGGATATTTAGCGTCACAAACACAGTTTTTTTGCCAATTCAGTTTGATTTAAATCGAAATTTTAAGTCGGATTTGCGTTTTTCTTCTTGAGATCTTTACAGCGGTATCCGGAGGTATAAAAGGCCGGCGTTAGTTGTCATGGAGCTCAGTAGTGCGTCAGATTTCGAACAGTAAACAGTGAAGTGAGGTTAAGTGAAAAAAGAGAGGTTAAGTGATAAAAATAGTGAATAAGTACTTATAAAGTGTATTACCGTGTGCAATTTGTATGTAAAAGGTATGCGATTCTTATTTTTATACTCCTGCACAATTATTATACTTTACTAGCTAAGCCAAATGTTAATTTTCTACGTAAGGTAAATTCTAAACAATTTCTAGATATTCAAAAATATTAATACTTTGGGTGTATAAGGATGTGTTGTTTGAAAGCTGTATACAATGAGGTATTATAAAAACAATAAACCCCATTAGTTTTTCTATATTTTGTCGATACAATCAAACTGGAAGTTTTATACACTTTCTATACAAAACATGGTATAATTCGATCCAAGTCTTTGTTGGTCTTTCGACTTATTGATTACATTTCAAGTTTATTTGATTCAAGTTTATTATAGTATTTGATTTGCATTGGGTTTACTTAATAAAGGATGTGTTGCTTGTTTGAATGCTATATACAATGAGGTATTATAAAAACAATAAACCCCATTAGTTTTTTTATATTTCGTCAATACAATCAAACTGGAATTTTATACACTTTTTATAGAAAACATGGTATAATCCAATCCAAGTCTTTGTTGGTCTTTCAACTTATTGATTACATTTCAAGTTTATTTGATTCAAGTTTATTATAGTATTTGATTTGCATTGGGTTTACTTTATAAAGGATGTGTTGTTTGTTTGAATGCTATATACAATGAGGTATTATAAAAACAATAAACCCCATTAGTTTGTCTATATTTTGTTAATAAAATGGAACTGGAAGTTTTATACACTTTTTATAGAAAACATGGTATAATTCGATCCAAGTCTTTTAAGGCCTTTCGACTTATTGATTACATTTCAAGTTTATTATAGTATTTGATTTGCATTGGGTTTACTTCATAAAGGATATGTTGTTTGTTTGAATGCTATATACAATGAGGTATTATAAAAACAATAAACCCCATTAGTTTTTCTATATTTTGTCAATACAATCAAACTGGAAGTTTTATACACTTTTTATAGAAAACATGGTATAATCCAATCCAAGTCTTTGTTGGTCTTTCGACTTATTGATTACATTTCAAGTTTATTTGATTCAAGTTTATTATAGTATTTGATTTGCATTGGGTTTACTTTATAAAGGATGTGTGGTTTGTTTGAATGCTATATACAATGAGGTATTATAAAAACAATAAACCCCATTAGTTTGTCTATATTTTGTTAATAAAATGGAACTGGAAGTTTTATACACTTTTTATAGAAAACATGGTATAATTCGATCCAAGTCTTTTAAGGCCTTTCGACTTATTGATTACATTTCAAGTTTATTATAGTATTTGATTTGCATTGGGTTTACTTCATAAAGGATATGTTGTTTGTTGAATGCTATATACAATGAGGTATTATAAAAACAATAACCCCATTAGTTTTTCTATATTTCGTCAATACAATCAAACTGGAAGTTTTATACACTTTTTATAGAAAACATGGTATAATCCAATCCAAGTCTTTGTTGGTCTTTCGACTTATTGATTACATTTCAAGTTTATTTGATTCAAGTTCATTATAGTATTTGAGTGCATTGGGCCTAAAAATAAAATGGTTTAAACTAATCTGTTTTTTCTTAAAGTTGTCTTAACTTCATAATGTACATTAACATTGATGTAATTAATGTAATGAAATAACTCACGTTTGTACCCATCCATGGGCTTTGTGCTGCTCCCAGCACCATGATCAAACATCCTTTTGGCCTCATCGCAATCTTAAATATAATATTAGGTGATATTATTAGGTGAATGTTACATACATTAATATACTTTTTAGGAGATTACTTACAAGTGTTACATTGATGTAATTAATGTAATGAAATAACTCACGTTTGTACCCATCCATGGGCTTTATGCTGCTCCCAGCACCATGATCAAACATCCTTTTGACCTCATCGCAATCTTAAATATAATATTAGGTGATATGATTAATGTTACATACATTAATATACTTTTTAGGAGATTACTTACAAGTGTTAATTAGACGTTGATTTGGTGTTGGTCCCCTATTAACTACTGATGTGGAATCAAAAATTTTAGATTATTAATATCAATATAAAATAACTTCATTTGATTTGCATTGGGTTTACTTACTGCTCTGTCCAGTAAATGCATGTAGCAAGATTTACATATATATATATATATATATATATACTTATATATATATATATATATAGAGTAAGTTCTTCAAGGGCATACATCAAATAAAAGGCAAAGATTTAGAAGTTAATCTTTAATTTTTCCAAACGTTTCGACATAGTATTTTATGTCATCATCAGTGGATATAAATATGGTCTTACATCAGTAGCTAGCGCTAGGAACACATTTTGCACTATCATATATCATTAACTTGTTTTTTTATATATTAATTTGTTGAACAGAGTATGGCAAAATATTTGTGAAAATATAATATATTTTGCACAGAGAATATATATTATATATTTCACAAATATTTTGCCATACTCTGTTCAACAAATAATATATAAAAAACAAGTTAATGTATATATGATAGTGCAAAATTGTGTTCCTAGCGCTAGCTACTGATGTAAGACCATATTTATATCCACTGATGATGACATAAAATACTATGTCGAAACGTTTGGAAAAATTAAAGATTAACTTCTAAATCTTTGCCTTTTATTTGATGTATGCCCTTGAAGAACTTACTCATATTTCTCAACATCAAAATTAACTACTTTAACATATATTATATATTATATAAAAGAGGATCGCTTAAGTTAGAACACTTATAACTCACGAACGGCTGAAGCGATTTAGATGAAAATTGGCAGGGAGGTAGTTTAGAGCCAGTTTTTATCCCGTGTTTCATTCTAATTTAAAACTATTCATTTAGTTTTATTTAATCTATGATTCTATCAATGATTTTATCCATGATATTTACTTTCAATTGTCACTGTCATTCGGTGTTTCTGTTTTGATACAAGTATATTTAAATGCATTTTTTAATAATATAATTTTTTAATCACCACAGAAAATTATTACGAAGTAGCAATAAATTAATTTTTAATAATAGCAAGAGATGACAACATGGACGATGGAGAAATTTATTTCTTGAAAATGGGAATGTAATCATTCATATACTTAGGTATTTATGTATATTTGTTATACGTATTTAAATAGAGTATTTGAGGTGTTTATATTGTATTATCAGTATAATCATCAACAAATTAATAAAAAAATAATTTTGAAATATAGTTTCTTAACATAACCTCAAAATTTGTAATGAAAATGTAAATAGAATGTAATGATAGTTTCTTTGCCCATTCGTATAAACAGTAAAGTGAACTATAAACTCAGTATGGTTGACAAATCATATCATTCTCAAACACGATGCTCTGAAAGAGCTCATTTGTATAATTATATACTCATTGGTATTTATAAAACATTCTCTAGATTATATATTTCATATTTCCTTTAAGTGATTTAAAATCAGAACCTAAATTTGAAATATATCAAAAGGGCATTTTGTGGAATAACTTATTCCCAGTTATAATTTCCCAGAATTTATCGAAGAATGAATAGTAATATTTGAAGGACCGGGGTTAAAAGTTCTACCACCAAAGTGTTCAAAACCAGTAAAGCTAAGCATTGTTTAACAACATTATTTGAAAGTAAAGGGAAAAAGATGTATAACCAGCTATAATCTTGATTCTTATGAGTTTGCTATTGGGCGATCAACGGTAGTCTTTGAAAATCCATAGTAAAAGTATTTTCTTCTGTTGGTAGTTTTTCAGCATTAGTTAAAAATGTAATTATTTTGTGAAATACCTTTAAAATAAAAAAATAAGACGTTGAACCTGTTTGCTATCTGGCGTTGAACCTGACTTTATGTACGTGTGTGTACAAAAATTTGAGTTCATCATAATTGTTGTTTTGACATTTGTGCTGCTTTGAGGTTAGAAGTGGATTTTGAGTAAAACCAAGCAAAAACATATATTTTTGGATAGTTTATTATTAAAATATGACTACTAAATCATGCAATAATAGTTTATTAACATAATATTTCTATTTTATCCCCTATTATATCCTTTATTACTGGTTGTTGTAATTTTCAACTACAGAACAAATAGTGCTCACCCAATTATGTTTTTACTTGTTTTAGGATATTTAGCGTCACAAACACAGTTTTTTTGCCAATTCAGTTTGATTTAATCGAAATTTTAAGTCGGATTTGCGTTTTTCTTCTTGAGATCTTTACAGCGGTAGCCGGAGGTATAAAAGGCCGGCGTTAGTTGTCATGG